CCAACCTAATAGCGATGGCCTCCAACCTACTAGCGATGGCCTCCAACCCAAGAGCGATGGCCTCCACCCTACTAGCGACCTCCGCCAACCTAATAGCGATGGCCTCCAACCTACTAGCGATGGCCTCCAACCTAGTAGCGATGGCCTCCAACCTAGTAGCGATGGCCTCCAAACTAACAAGAATTACAAGAGCAGCTGAATTGATCCGGTGGTTTGCTTCCACCAACAAAAATCAAAAATGACATCACGGATTCTCGCGGTGTTAAGTCTGCAATTTCTTCCACAGAAATCTGGAGGACGATGATGTTCAAGAGCAGGCCCTCTGGAAAAGTGAAAAGAATGCGGAAACTTCAATTGGTCGACCACCTGCTGAGCTCTGGCACCCTGTGTGAGGCCAACCAGGGCCAACAGCATGAGTGTTCGAAGCTGCATCAGATGGAAGCGCCTGACATCTTTGAAAGGGATCAAGATGGATCAAGACACAGTGACTGAATGGGTGCGAAACCTCCTTCAAGCTTCTTGGGTTTGTTTACACTTTAAACCCATCAAAACGAATTTATAAAAGGATTGGGAATGGATCTAGTACATCCATTCATTGCACCCGGCACCCATGAAAAACCAGCCACCCTCCCACTGAAGCCACGATGATTCGCTGCTCTGCAAAGGATTGAGATCTCTTTAGTGGATAGGAATCACAGCACTTCAATGCCCAAGGAGTCATGACTTGTCATGTTCACCATGTTCCTCGATTCAGACGGCCGAGTTCCGACGGCCTCAGCTTCCGCGAAGCGGAAAGCAGAGGTGCGGGTCTCAGGGCCGCACGCAGCACGGTGGGCTGCGCGGGTTCAGGCTTGGGCCAAAGCCAGCGAGAGCAACAAGCTTCTGAAAGATGCAGCATCATGCAATCCCAAAGCATGATACGCACAAAGACAATATATAGTGTGTGGTAGCTAAAGTTGCGCTTGGCTGAAAATAGATCGGCATGATGTCCCGTACTGTGTCAAACAGGACTGGTCATCTTGATCTTTGGAGGAGTCAGAGCTTTGCTGGAAATGTATGGAAGAAGAGTCTTGCCGAAAACTCCGATCTAGGCATTCTTTTTCCATCTTTTTCCGGTGTTGTTTTGGTCAATGAAGGCCCTTGTCGGTCATGTCAGTGGAGACCATCTTCCCGTATTCCATCTCTTTTGAGTCAACTTGATAAGTAGTGGACAGAATCCCTAGTTGTGGAAACTGGATCGTCATGGTGTTTCCCATCTTTTCCACATTCTATCTATAGATAAACTCGCTTCAATCGTGACTGTTGCAATTTCTCACTGGTGGCGCACGATTGGATGGTCCAAAATCTCGATTTCGGCTCAACGCTTGGTCATGGTTGCGTATGGGGTGCGATTTAGACAAACCATGGCAAACCCCACAGCAGTCCATGACAGAGGAGATGTCAACATAGTTTCCTCCTGAAGAGATGCCCAAGGTCTAAGCACTGGAGAGTGCTCTTGGTACCGAAATGAATTTGACCTGTGATTGGTCATGGGGGTAGCGGTAGTTGATCCGCCTTTCGCCACCCACTTCGCCCGCCAAGACCCACCACGCCGCACCCCGAGGCCGACCTTTCTTCGCGGCACCCGCCCGGCCCATCTTTGAGACCACGAGGCGAAACGATGGTCGAAGGATCCCATGAAAGCGCTGGATGCTGCAAGCGGTGGTTCCGATGCTGCACAGCGTGGATGGATGGATGGATGGATGGATGGATGGATGGATGGATGGAATGAACAGAAACACGAGGTATCGCGAGGTCCAGGGTAATATGGGGAGACCGTGTGGTTGAAGTCAGACAGGAACAGTGTTGTAACAGCCGCCATCACTTGCCTGAAGGCATACAGTGAGATATATGCTATGGCCTGAAAGCATCTCAAACCATCTGAAACTTACCCACATCCCACTTGAGGGATCTTCATCCGAAGCTTCATCAGGATCCTCAACTGTAATCAGCCACCACCGGCTTTGTGTCCACAGGCATGTGGACTGGGAACGTACATTTGCCAATCTGTTGTAACTTCTTGCGCCGTGCGCCCTCGAAACATGAAGCGGCTCACGATGAGTGAAAAAGAGAGCAGCGAGTTCCCACCAAAATCTGGCCAAGACCGCACATGGTAGGATCCAGAAAATCCCGAATGGTCTTGGCATAGATTGGTACAGGCAACATAGAGATGCCTATTCTCCATATGTTTAGACGAGCAATGCTGCAAAACAAGTAGCTCTTGATAGCACGATCATCAGCTAGCGAGGCATCTGAAGAAGTTACGTTGCACATGCGATGCTCGGTCAGACAATTCCTCCCTCCGGCCACTCTGTTCTGCTAGGAGGGAGGCCTTTGTTTGGGGGCCAGTGCGTAGATCATGAGTGCGCGACACATCCGGTGTTTGACCAGTGGCAACTGGCAGCTGACAGAAACACATGGTGGATCTTGGTTGACGTGTTTTCCCTCGTGTTTCAGGGAATTGAAAGTTGCGAGGCTCCTGAGATGCTAGCTTCAAAAAAAGAACTGCGTCTCATCAAGCAGTTCGAAGCACAAACTGGTTCTCTTTCTTCAATCAAAGCACTGTTCACTGCAAGATGTCTTGTAGATCCAGAGTCATTTGAAGGGAATGGGACGTACATGATGACATGTGGTCACAACAACAATAAATGCCAAGAAATACCAAGGACGACCTTGAGCAAACATTGAGGAACATGGAGGTGGAAAGGATCAGTCCAGCAAGGAAAACAGGCTTCCTGGTTCAGGGTTCTCAGTCTAGAACGATGCACCAGGGACCTTCATCTCTCTTGCCCACACGAAATAGACTGCTGGGCAAGCATCTGGAAGGCTTAGCCGCCTTTCGAGCAAGGTGAAGGTGCAAAACATCCTAAAATGTCTTGGAAGTTACACTCCACCCAACCAACACAATTCCTCTCCTACCTGGTAAATGAATTGTAAATGAAATGATCTTCCAAACCCTCTCCTCCAAAATATGCTTTTGAAAGGGGTGCAATCATCCGCGTTACTCCATGTTAGGGGCGTTTCCTCATCATGGCTGCACTGATCCATATCTCCGCACTGACTACGAGCGCACGTGCCATGCGCCACTCCGATTTCCGTCGGTGCACATCCTGAAACTAGGCCGCCACCACCACGAGTGGGGCCGTTGGGTCAGCGGCCGCGGCCAGGTGTGGCAGAACAAAGCCTTTCCTGTACAAGAGGTAGGTAACCTGCAGAAACTGAGAGGAAATTGTATACTCCTTGAAGTCTTGATGGATGCGGCGGATCGAGTCCCTTCAAATTCCAGTCATGACTGGAAACCTTCAAAAACCTACCGCATAGAAAGCTGCAGAATCCACTGACAGACGCATCGCTCTTCAACAAAGGGTACGCTATATATAGATATCTCCCTGCGCTGAGCCTAGTTCTATTTGTAAATGAGCAGCCCGGGCATTCTTGGCATATGGCACATTTGGCTATCCACCCCCCTCCAAGAAAGGCTTTCCACTTGGCAGAGTGCCGCTCAGTGAGCACAATACGTCCAAGAACAAAGCAAACACCTGGGAAATTTGTCACTGGTTGAATTCCAACAATCACGACGCTGCCCTCTGACTATCTGGAGCAAAAGCTCCGCAAAACGCTATATTGACATGGCCGTGACAGCACAGCTTGACGACTCAAGGATTTTGAGCTTCAACTGGCCTGAGGATATGGGGTTCTCATTTCAGACCTACAATCTGACCTACCTTCTGATAGGAGCCTTTCAGGCCATGGTAGAGTTTTCTCGTAACGTCCCACAATCTCACCAGCGGGTGCGAACCCCAGCCGTACGGTGGTGCGACAATGCTTTGTTCGCTCACCGGTAGAACTACTTTGCTGGATGAACAGCACACGCACACGTGTCACGGCTCAAAAGAAAGGATGGGCAGAGGGTCTTTGCAAAAAGTAATCATCCGTGTTTCTACCTAACTTGTGTGACAATAAAGACTGCGAGAGATATTCTGTAAAGGCATACGTGTTTTAAAGCCAACAAATGAATCAATGGCACTCCCGGTTTTCTTCTCAAGTTTGTAGGCGATATCCGGGGGAGGGCACTCTGCGGTTTCACCCTTCAGGAAGAGAAAGCACATGTTTTCAGAAGTCTGTCTCCTGAGGGAGGGTTCAGTCAAGACTCTGGAACTTTCTTGGGGGGTCACCGCCAGTCCTTGTATGGAGGGGGAAACCTTGACCTACAGGTTTGTCAAAGTCCTGTACACTATACAATTGCTTTTTGAACATATCAATCTCGATTTGCAATCTTCCTTTGAATTGTATATCGTTGCCTTCGTACTTTTGAGCAATTTCTTCGGGTGTGATATTTGGTTCCTCTTGTGGTTTTCAATTTTCATTAAAACCTGACTTGTTTCAGACTCATTAGCTGCTGCTGTCGATGGCACCATTAGCTCCACTATTGGCTACTTGTTCTCTTATTTAGCACCCTCCTTTTGAAATTGATTTGTCTAGTCTTTCCCGTTTGTGTGTCTCTGCTTCCTGACTTCTTCTTCACATCTTTCACTGTTGTGTTTGTTGTTTACAAGCTCTTCCTATTCTCAAGAGGTTTCTCTTCTAGACAAGCAAATAGTTATACAATCAACATACACAATAGAAGTAGCTAAGCCAAATACAAAAGGATTTAAAGACCCATATCATTGCCATATATATCACAACGTATTGCTCTTTGTTTGTTTCAGCTACCATTTGCTCAAGAAGAGGTAGTTCCCTTCTTGGTTTGTTGATTGTGGATGACTTTTTTGTTGAGCATAAGTTTCTTTGACAAAAACTTCCAATGCTGCGGCGCTTACAAAGGAACACCCTTTTATAGGTGAAGATTAGGATCTTCCTAGATGGAGGACGTCGTCGTGTTATTTAATATATATATATATACATGTGCATGTTTATACAGCCAAAGCCTTATCAAGGATGAGCATGGTAAAGTGATAGTAGTCTTGAAAAGCAGAGAAGGTTCTGGATAAGGTGGGATGCATTGTTATGTGGTCCGAATCTTATCAAAAATGAGACTGGTACGAAGGAGAAAAGCATTGCATGGTAGAGGAGGGTTTTGGATGAGGTGGAGTGCTTGCGTGTAGGCGTAGGTTCCATAATGGATGGAACGTGCGTCAAAAAAAGGAACTCATTGAAACAACATGCATAGAAATATGTATATATGCCAAAAGAGCGCACTGCCACAGCTGTCCACTCGCAATTCTTTTCATTATCGAGGAATGCATAAAAGTTGCAACAGTTTGCATGATTACTTGTCAATCAAAATGGCCCCTCAGACATCCCCCTCACTCTCATGGTATCCGCATAGCTCAAGATGTTTGCTAGAGAATATCCAAGGAGGATTCAAAAATAATCGAAGTACACAGAGTCCTTCAATAGGTTGAGCTGCTTGCAGACCTCAAGTAAAATATGTGTACATCCCAAAAAGTAATTAAAACCTAAAGATCCCCATGTGAAGCTGAAGAAGACCTCTGCCACAATAGTTTTCCCCAGAGCCTCTGATGCTGTGACCTGGGACGTCCTTCTTGACACCATGCCGCGCGTTTGCCGTGCGCTCAGCACGCGCGCCGTGCCCTTTGCATCAGGTGGCCTAGCTGGGCGCAAAGCTGGACCTGAAGGACCTCTTGGAGGGCAGGTGGATGGTCGAGGAGGTCCGAATCCAGAGTTAGTACTACAGGTGCGTGCCATCCTCTTGAGTTGCACCGTCTTACACCATCTGATCGTTTCCATCCCAACAAAAATATCCCTGGAGCACCCAAATGCAGTGAGGTCAGAAGTGAGGTGGGTCATAAGCCCAGGTGCTTTAGAGGTTCTGGCACCTCTACCAGGTCCCTCAAAGACACTCAAACCTCCGAAAGTAGTGCGTGTGGTGGCTGAGTGGTGCGGGTGACCGAACAATCGCCCTGGAGGAGCTGCATCCCGAGATCCAGAGCATGCCAGACATTGTCATATAAACCTACAAGACAGGGCGAAGAATGCGTCATGGAAGTTCCTTAGTGCTACTTCCAACGAACTGACCACCTCATAGGACCTCTATCTCGTTCAAAACCTCCCTGGCCCGGCTCCTCCCACGAACGCCCCCGGGCTCCACCACCGTTCGCTCCAGCCCCGGCACCTCGCTGTCGAAGCTGGGCGCACGTGGCACGTGGTGCGTCATGGTCAACAGCGGCAGATCGGAGGACGACGGCAGGTGCACGGGTGCTGCGCTGAGGCTGGGAGCGGAGGTGAAGACCTCGGTCGAGGCACTGAGCACGCGCCTTTATGGTGCGGAGGTCGTTCCGGTGCGAGTTCCGGAGGCCTGAAACACGGGAGCTGTGCGGACCTACAAGGCGGACCTACAGGGACGGATGGTGTTGAACGACTGACATCTCCAGGTGTGAGCCTTCCCACTTCTGCGTCTGTAGTCTTGTGTTCTAAAGTTTCCAGCAGTTGCTGTATTAAAACAACAAAACATTAGGAAAGGAACCGGAAATGGAAGGCAAAAAGGTGCCCGAACAGACAAAAAGGAAACAAGAACAACACATATATGTTAAAAAGGCAAACAACAGGAAAATAAACAAGGTCTGAGTCTAAAGTTTGAAATGTATTGCAGGCAGCTGTTTTCATAAGTCTGAAGGAATCTCAAAAGTTGTTGGTCCTATTTGTCGTTGGTCCTATTTTTTCATACGCACTGTCCTATTTATTTTGGAATTTGGTCCCAGGTGTTTCTCTTGGTTTGGGTCCTATGTGTCCTATGTTTTTATGATTTGGGCACTATTTATCACCACGTTTGCCTTGTTTTTCTTATGCGGAGTGCAAAACTCTCTTCAACAAACAACTCAAGAAGCACCGCACATGGCTATGCGGTCAAACACGTTTTATCGGCTATGCCCAAGGGTCCTGTGGAGAGTGAAACGGCGGCGACATGGGAACATCACCCTGTGCTAGAGTCTAAACTCAAGTCTTTCAACCCCAAAAAAATTCTCTTGCCCACGACGTGTTGCAGAGATCTTCATCCGATGTTGGGATTGTTTCCCTTGTTCCAACACATCATCTTCTTCCTGTATTGCATACCGGCCCGTTCGAAGCAACTGCAGCAAGGGTTCTGCACGCACGCCATTGACTTTTGTCAATGCATCTGACGGGTTCCGGTTGTGTGGCACCCACCGCACTCTTCCTTTCACCACCGTGACTGATTCAGGGATTATGGCCAACTCCAGCGCAACTCTGTCATCACTTCCATGACTTTGCTCGGTGTTCATTGTGTCGTACAACAACTTTGCATCAACGACAAGGATGCTGCCAGGGTCAACAAACTCTTGCGACTCTGATGCCACAACTGTTAGGGTTGAAGTGAGCAAAGCGAATGCTTTGGAGGAAAGCATCTTGCCGTTCCAATGCAGCTGAAGCGGTGGAGAGAGAAATGAGGTCACACAACAGACTGGAAGCCGCTTTTTCTAAGCCGTTTGGATCGCCATTGCATGAGGGATATCGGCGCTGATGCAGCGTGGAGTCTGTCAAGCCAAGGTGCCAACCGTGCTAAACCCTTCACAACCTGCAGTATCAAATGCACTCTCTGAAATCAGCACGCGCCGAAGGGCATGCTCCTTGATGGCGTGGATGTAGAGCCCAATTGGGCATGTCTTGACGTGAACCACAATGTCGTTTGCGGCTTGGACATCCGCTAGTTTGGAAAAGCCGACGCCAGACTACGACCGAGGCATCGGGTCGGCCTTCTCTGGCCACCCAGTTTAGAGAGGCAACTAGTCCTCTCAGCTGTGTTTTCTCTGTCTCATTCAACTGGATCTTCTCGGCGTCCTTTTTCAACACCCGACAGCCGAGCTTGATGGGCTCCAAACGGGTGTATACAAACTCATCCATGTGGCTTTGGAAGCTGAAGTCTGGCATTTGCCTCAAGTGCCTCCCAGCGTATGTTGAACCCTTTGGAGTCATCATCAGCTCGCTGATCTTGCCAAAGGTCAACAGGCCTTCCAGTTGCTTCATCTTCTGCGTGTGGAGTTCTGAGCCACCTTCAGCTATGCCATCCACCGTCAAAACCACGAATCCTTGACTCAGCGCTCCTTCTGACTTGTCATTTCCGCTCAAGACCACGCAGCACTTGTCATAGACATTGAGATGGTAACCGAGAGTCTCGGTGGCCAGCTTCACGAAAGTTCTTCGCCACCACGACGGTCCACTAACAAGGCCGTAGACCTCGGTCATCAGCATCAGCAACTGTCCGGGGTCTAGACCTGGCAAGGCCTCATCTCGCGGTTGCCTCACCGCTAATCTTGGTTTTCCTTGTGATTGTAAGAGCTTGAAGGAATGCTGCTTTGACATCACGGACTCTACATTTCCAACGGCGAGATGCCGCCAGCTGCAAGCACGTGTGAAGAGACGTGCTCAAGGGTGTCGGTGCACTTCGTTCAACTTCATGAATCAACGGATCTTGCCATCCGACCACATGGTTTGGTCGCTTTCTAGTTGACACAACTCATAATTAGCGCCCTTCTTTGATGGCACCTTGTTTGTAATGCTCCAACTGTTCCAAAGAAATCTCTTTAGGCTTGTAGCGGTCGACAAACTTACTTTCAATGACATGGTCTGGGAACTGCTCCTCAAAAGCAATGCTTTCTTCAATGGTCTTGACCGCCCCATTGGACACTAGGCTGTCCAACTCCTTTCGCGCTGACCGGAATGCCACCTTCTCAGGTTCTGCCAGGCAAGCAAACTCAGCTTGTCCAAAGGAAGACTTCACTTTGGTCAGGTAAAAATGTTCGTAACTACTGCAAGAACTTGCTTCGGCTTGCGCAGCTGTGAAGGTGCCCTTTGAATGGGGCCTTGGCTGAGGCAAAGCTTGCCCTTGTTCTTGGTCATACTTCCACGCCACACCGATGAATGGCGCGGCCACATCATGGCCGAAATTGATCACCTCGAAGAATGTTGAGTTTCCTGGAGGCGATGGCATCGATGGGATGGTTCCTGGCATTGCTTGCCGAGGGGTTGTTCTCGGGTTGGTGCAAATTGGTGGTGTTTCTGGACTGTTTCCCAGTTGGTCCTCCGTGTCCGGAGTGGGCCAAAGCTCATGGCGCCGTGCGGGGCTTCATCCACTCGGACAGCAAGTGGTGGTGTTGCTTGTGGTGCGTCAGGCGGTGCCTCTGGTTGATCCGATGCGCTGGATCTGGGAATGCTGTCGGCCCGGTGTTCGGCCGGAATTGGTGTTTCTATTGGTTCATCCTGCTCCTCTTGGATGGCTTCCATTGGGTGTGTTTCTTCTTGGGGCTCCAAGAAACTCACTCGACGGCTGGGTGCTTCAGACGGTCTAGCTGTGGAGGCTTCCTCTGACTCCATCTCGACATCCTCGGACGGTGGTAAAGTGCTGTCGGCGGTGCTGCGAGCTTGGTGTTCTGGTGCTCGGCCTTGGTCTTCAACGACTCGGATGATTCGTTGGACTTCATCGCCAGGCAGCTCTTCTTCTTGGGGCAGGCCTTCCTGAGTGACATCTTGGAGGGATCGGTCGACTGTAAGGGATCCACCATCAACGAAACGCCAACAATCCAACAGCTGGTAGGGAGCCGGAGACAATCCCCGGCTCCGCTACCACTGTTGGATCAGCGGAGTGCAAAACTCTCTTCAACAAACAACTCAAGAAGCACCGCACATGGCTATGCGGTCAAACACGCTTTATCGGCTATGCCCAAGGATCCTGCGGAGAGTGAAACAGCGGCGACATGGCAACATCACTCCGTGCTAGTCAAACTCAAGTCTTTCACTTCTATGCCCAATTTCTTCACAAACAATAGAAACTGCAATCGCTGTAGAACACAACCCCCTAGCCTACCCAGCAGCAACGCGCGCTTCATCACCTTGAGATGTATGGCCTCCTTCGCCAGAGCTAATCTTGAAAGATTCCACCCTCCACCCTCCGACTCCCCATGTCCGGTCCAGCCACCGAGGCTGTGAACGCCAAGCCCAGCGCCGCCGCACCCACCGGCGCCTCGGCGGCCACGGCCAGGCCGCCCAAGCTCACTGGGCCCCCTGCGTCCGCCGTGGACGCCGTGGGCGCCGGCTGGGCCTGGGCCACATCGGCGTGAAGCTCCGGCGCATCCGTGAAGCGCCCCCAGGCGTAGCCGACCTGTGCTTTGGGGTGCGTGGTCGGAAGGATGGCGGTGGTTAGATGTTTGAATTCGGATTTTAGAAACTCCGTGAGAAAGCCTCAATCACCTCCAACCTAAAGAAGACGCTTTAATCCCCTATTTGCCTTCCAAGCCACAGCTCCGAGCACTCCCCCAAAGCCCACCAGCAGCACGTCCCGCAGCCCGTTCAAGAAGCCACCCCCCCTGTCGCTCGCTGCTTCTGGGGCAGCCTGGGCAGCCTGGCCAGCCAAGCCTGCAGCATCCTTAGAAACAAGGCGGGCTCAAGCGGTGGCTTTCGTGGCTATGGTTTCCAAGGACAACGTCCTTGCACAACATCTTCCAAGGTTGTTTGGACCACATTCCACAATTCCCATCCCATCAGTCACGTTTTTCAAAACGTCGGTCTCACATCTTCTGCATGGCCTGTCGCACTCGGGCAGCTTGGAGATCCTCCTGGAGTCGTGCACTGGTGGCAGTAGGTGGCCCAGGGTTCCCAACGTTAGGGCATTCTTGAGGTGCTTGTGGTTGGATCCGTCTCAGGATGAGGGCATCGCCGGAAGAATCTAGTCACCAACTAAGCTGTCACCCCGTTTAACCCAACCCAAAGCAATTGAAACCCCGATAATATGCCTCTAACGACGAGGAACAATGAAATTCCTACTACCGATTCCCACCTTATTTTTCAACAATAGACTCTGCTTGCGAGAGAGGAACGTTGTGTAGGGCCTGTGCTTGACAGCGCACTTTGTTGGCGTTGGTACCCAAAAACTGTATATAGTATGCCGTACACCAAGTCCATATCAAATAGCATTTTGTGAACTTATCCTTCCTGGCACATTGGAACCTCATCAGATCTCTCAAAGATAACCTCCAGACTATTCATTCCACGCAGGCCCCCAAACAGGAAAAAGAAACCGTTGTTCAAAATAAAACTTAACCGTTCTGTTCACGTGTCACACAAGGTCAGTCTAGGGAGGCTCTTGCGCTGAACGAATGCAATTTTAGGCATCTCATCACATCGACTTCACAGATTGATTTCCTACAGTAGATGGTTTTCTTATTCACTGTTTCTAGTGTACTGTACTGGGTTAAAAACTTTGTGGAATATTTTTGTGATACGTTGATCAGAAATATTATTGTCACACTCCGTATCTAGGAGCTCTTTGCACCCACAGATTTTCGCAGGGGGACTGGAGCCGATTTGCTCATCCAGTCCAACGAAGCGATGGCATTTCGGTGAATGAGTGGTCTGATCAACCCACTTGTACCTGCTTGGAACACATTGACACCACTGGTCCACCCTTCTGCTGTCTTTTTGATTTCTTGGTCCTTTCACGCTACTCCCCTGAACCCATTTTCCCGCTGATGTGCAGCCGCGTCGCCGCTGAGCGCTTTCGCAGTCAAGTGAAACTGCCATTGTTCAAAATATTCTGTTTCCGCGGGCTCAGCCACCTTTCCGTTCCATCACTCCTTTTATCGTGGATTATGGAAACTGCAAACCCTATGACTAGATGGGAGCCGTGTTTTCTTGAGCCGCTCGATCCGTCGGATTGACCAGTCATGGAAGCACTATCTCAGCTGCTTCAAGTTCTTCAGTGCCTATAGCTGGGAGTACCAGACCAACTTCGGAGGGCGCATTGTGCCCTCGAAGAGACGAGCGACTTTGGTGGATGCACCAGCTGCGACTATGTCGGTGCCGGACTTGGAGGCTTTGGCTGAGAAGGATCGAGAGGCCTATGAGGTCATCACCTTGCAGGGGAGTGGAGCAGGCCTGCAGAGCTCCACTTAACAAAGCTCTCTGCAGTGACCTGAGGATATCACTGGAGACGTCCAGCGACGTACCTGCTACAAGAACTTTTCCACACGCTGTGACTCCACTTTTTTCTTTTTTTGTTTCCATGGTGGTTGCTCATGATACTTTCCCCACAAACAGGTTTCCCTACGCCGTGCTGCAGCTGCTGACTTGCGTGAGTTTTTCGAACCAATGCTTCAACACTTCAAGTGCTGTTGCCGACTCAGCCACCTTTAACTTTCGTTTCCCTCATCCCTTTCCTCGTGGAACAGAGATAACTGCAAACCCATTGTCTAAGCGTGGGTCTGTGTGGCACAAACACAAATTAGGAATGCGGTTAGGGAGGCAACGAACATGCGCACGGCCAGTCCACAACAGTCTCTATGAAAGTTCTAGTCTGCCGTAAAGCCATCGTAAAACAACTATTCTATATATATATATACATACACATATACAGATACATATGTACATATAGTCGAAAGTGATTGGATGCATTTTTATGTAGGCTTGGAGGCCCCGAGAAGGTAGTTGGATCCCTATACTGGCCCGGGTTCCACGAATGTCCTGGGCCTTCCACGATTTTAGTAGAATAGGTTTTTGCAAAACTCTTTCTGTGCGCCCTTCCAACCTGACTTCCTTTTCACAAAGAAAAACAGTTTTTCGTATCTGATCTTCAGCAACCACTACGGAACCAAAATAGTGCACCCCATTCATTATCTCGGAGGGTGTCAGACTCAAACATGTTGCCGCTGCGTTGCCCGACACAGCCCGAATGAATCATCATTGCAGATCCCATGGTGGTCCAACTATATCGTTGCACTTGTGCAGCTTCAAGGTCCCAAAAATGAGGCCCAAAATCTGGCAGTGCAGTAGCTTTCGGAAGGAGGGACGCCGTTTTGGTGCCAAAAGTCGGAGTAAAGAGTCAGTTTCCGTGAGTGCTGGCATAAAACTTTACAACGCACTGCTTGGAAAAAGATGATAAGTTGCTACTCTACACAATTTGTATTAGTTTAAGAAAGTGTGTAATCAATAGTAATGCTTCCCCCCTCCGGCTTCCTGTGTAGGAAACAAAGAGAACCAACACTAATATGGTCGTTCACACGATTGAAGATTATACTATGAAAAACCAGAGCTCCAGGGCATTCCTTTCTGCTTTTCTCTTCTCCCATCCACATCTGATAGAGACCCACCCCTTTTCGAGTTTTGTGAGCCCAACGTAGCGAGCTCAAAAGGAGCTCGTCGAGGTGCTCCTCGAGTCCATAGAGCTGTGCTTGTGCCTCCCGAAGCCGCAGCTTCTCCTCAAAAACGAGAAGTGGTGCCAGATTCTTCCAGCGTCGGGTCACTGGTCACTGGTCTCACAGTCCCCACCTCTTTCTGGTGGAATACGGTGAAATAGGGTGGAACACGAGGGATCCCAACTCTTTGGAGTGAAGAAGGAGAGCTGCTAGCTGCTAGCTGCCTCTAGCAGTACCTGGTCCCCCACAGGCCCTGCCCAGTTTCAGACCAGCCTGATGAGAGTGCATCAGTTTGGGGCGGTCCTTCCGTCCCGCCCCTATCTTAACCGCATGGATCATGTGGCACATGGAAACTGACAGAGCTGGAAGTCCAGTGTGCTCGCCAGTCTGCTCGAAAGGCTGGTTCGCTCCACATCACCAGGCCCAGGGAGGATCGTGTTGGATTATTAGATACTTTCTACCTTCTCGCTGGGAGTCCAGGCGATTCTCTTCAAAATGGTCTGACTATATAGTAGGTGATCTGAGTCCAAGTCCTTAAACCTTCGGCGGTGGGCACCTGCCGTCCGCCGAACTGGACGGTGAGGATCCCCTTGTTCTAAGGAAGGAAAGCACTGGGATGGGGAAAATCATTCACAAATCCTGCGCAATGGTCAATGTCTCTTTCACTAAGGCCATGTCTTCCTGAAAGCTAAAAACACTGGGATTTGGATGGATTTGGGCCAAGAACCCCAGAAACAGAACTCGACTCGGTGATGATGTGAGACTTCCAGTTTGTATCTTCGACTGCACAACGTCAGAGGTCATTGATCAATTCCTTGAAATCCCATGAAACCCCTGCAAGGTTTGAGGGAAATGTTGCCTCGAACCATCAAAGGAGGGCTTTCATTAATTCGTCTCTCCGACATCGATTTGATAGAACCAGTCCCTCCAGCTTCAAAAGGCTCCAAATCTTTAATACAGTCCAAGTTCCCGGCCATTCTCAATGAGGTTGCTGTGGGTCACAGCCCGGAGCCCGTTTCCGGTTTTGACCCACAGCCAGGTCTTTTTGAAGCCATGCAAACCATGTCAAGTGGGCGATCTGGGCTTGTGCCATCAATTCTGCAACTTTCCCGAATCTTTCCCTCTCCTCTCGCACGCGGGCCTCCAAGGCAGCCAAACGATCCTGGGGCGGGCAAAGCATCCTTGAAGGTTGTCGAAGTCTAGGACGAACATGTGGGCTCGGAAATGATCTGAGTAGAGGTCCCAAATGAGTGTTCAAAACAAATAGAGGTTGTCGGTTTGATGAAGTTGAGCCAAAAAGGCCAGCACTTGCCGAATATCTTTCGAGGGAACCGCAAACAGGCAAACCCTTTTGCGTTAACAGCCATCACAACCACCAACAACCCCGGAGCAAGGCACACAATGTATATTGACACTCATTATATACATGGACACGCGCTGTTAAATTCCTGTACGTTACGGTATATGTCCAGGAAGTCCAGCTGAAGAACCTGGTTCTCAGAAGGAGATACCAGAAAGAAGGAGATACCAGTAAAATCCCCTGAAACCAGGCCAGCTCGGACCCGCTAAAAAAAAGAAACTCTCTCCAACAATCGCAACAGAAGTGGAAACAGGTTTGACATGGCTTGGGAACGCTCATTTCCTTGACAAACTGGCCCTGTTGCACTTCGGGAGAGGCTGCTCCGTCGTTTTTGAGTGAAAACCCAGCCAACCGAGCCGCCACCCGAGCTGAGGATCGGACCGCGGGCTGTGGGGTGTCCGCTCTCTCCTGCAGGACTTCTGCCCTAGTAGCGTCCTTGTTCCTAGTAGCGAGGCCCTTTGCTCCTAGTAGCTTCTTGTTACTAGTAGGGATGCCAGGAGCCCCTAGTAGCTTCTTGTTACTAGTAGTAAGGCCAGGAGCTACTAGTAGCGTCCTTGCTCTCAAAGTGATTCGTACTCTGTCGCTGGGGCTTCCGCGGATTGGTTTTAGAGAAATACAAGAAGGCAGCTCTGACAAACTAAACATCAAATCTACCACCAAAACTGTGCTGCAGTATACTCTACACATATTATCCTCCAGGCCCTTGGCGCCTATCTCGGAACACATGACATATGGCGCATGCCGAGAAAAGAGTCCAGCCTCTTCCTTGGTGTCCTTCCCCTTAGACTAACTATCTTGGTTCAGGATTTGGAAGAATTCATTACTATTCATTGATTCATTTCTCACATTCCAAACATGAATGACCTTGCAAGTCTTCAACAAAACCTGCATTCCGTCATTCCATCTTCCAATCCGCCCAGCACACGGCAACCAGACCTGGACCAGCCCCACCGCTGGGCACTCACCCCCGACGCCATCGCACATCACGATCTGGGCGCCCCACGGAGCTCCAGGCGACCACATCCGATCTGAGGGCGTCGGCGCCCACCTGAGGTGGAGGGTGAACCTGCTCACCGACGGAAGAAGAGCAGCGCGCTTGGGAGGTCGATGGTTTTTCCCGCACATCGATCGAGCGGTTGTTCGCTTTTCCCCGTGGAGAGGCCCCAAGAAGGCTGCGAGACGTGGTCGGTTTTGCCTCTCGGATCGTGGACGAACACTTCTCAAAACTCCAAGGTGTCCCGGCGATGGTCAAAATCCGTAACCGGAGGGCCATGGTTCGTTCAGGTCGACCGCCGGCCAAAAACAATTCGATCACCGCGGTCGGTGTTATTCTACAGTGACTCTACAGGCTTCACACTTTGAAAGGGATGAGATAGAGCGTCGGGTCCTGGTGATCAAAATCCTAACCGTAGAAGCATCAGTTGTCTGCCAAGAACTCACTTGTGGGAACCAGCTGAAGCTACTCAGGCCCGTTCTGCACCATCGTTTGGCTGTGGCAATGTTAAAACTCTTTGCATCACTCAAAAACAACACAATAAAATCAACTTGCATTTCAGCATGAGGGCCTCATTTCAAAATCCGAAGGGCGTTGTGGTGGCGTACGGCGTTTGAACATGAAGCTTCTTACACGAGCGTAACTCGTCCCACTATGTTTCACTCACCATCACGAAGGGCAGAATGGAATGAAATGAACATGAAATGACATGACCTTCTTTTAAAGGAGAGAACCGTCTTTGAAGGTTGAAGCAGTCTTCTTCCATGTTCAACCAATGGGTCCCAGTCTCCCATCTGGCCTCAGACATCCTCGCTTGATCAGCATCAAAGTCCGCCATTGGAAGTTGTTGCTGGACACCTTCCAAGCGCCAATGAACTTGGAAGAAACCCTTGGTTCAACATCCGGGTGACCAATCACCGACAACTCATCTCCCCTTCCCTGAACTCCCGGAAGATAGTCATTAAGCCTTATTATATCTTATTATTAAGCCTTAATATATAAGGCTTGTTTCTTTCAAGCACCATGTGTGACCCCCAAAATAGCGGATATTTTGGTGTGAATGTAAACTGGTTGAGGCAATGCTGCTCAAATTTCTGCAGTTAGTGGGGGTGTGTTCAAGAACAATCCGTCCTTCTTGAGCTTTGACACCCCGGTATAGCTTCAGTGAACACGTTTTTGGTTTACGGGCTCGCAAATCACAGGTATTCGCTATTCAGGCGGCAAAGCCTAACTTCCGGAGTGGGGGGATCAGGAGGGGAACATTTCCGCGCGGGTGAACGCAGGACCCCAGCCATCGACTCTACTTCTCAAAGGATCATCCCAGCCACATGGTGAAGCTATAACTACTATGCTATGCGCTCCATCCATCCTATCTCCACGGCTCCATCCTGTCTGGTTTCACTTCCAAGTCGCCCTGATAGCTCAAAGGCGCCCGCGCATAGCTGCCCTGCTGCTCCACATGGGACCCGGGCGCAACTGGATAAGCCTCGGCCAAGGCGTCTGCAGTGCCGGCCCCCGCACCCCCGCAGTTCATCAGGAAGGCAACCTCGGAGCCAAGCAAAGGCGCCATACGGCTGAGCGCTGCGGCTGAGCGCGGTGTGGGAGGAAGGACGAGAAATCTCCCCTGTGAGTGACATCCTACACTGGAGTTGATGATCACTTTGACTACACTACGCCCTGAATTTGGTTGACACTTACCAGTTGGTTGCTTCTCAGCTGTCAAAACGATTGGACTGCGCAGCCAAAACCAGGTGCCAGACCAAGTGCCATTTGCAGGACACTCGATCTAGGCCAATTTAACGAAAAAATGCCCCGAGTATCCCGAGTCGCATCGACGGCGACACGGGTCGTGGAAAGGAGTCGGGCGCGATCTCAAACGTCTGCAAAGAAATGATCGCTTGCTTGGCGAGAGCATAGCGAAAACTAGGGAAATCCATCAAGGACGAAGGACCTCCACTAATCAACTCTCACACACCTGGCTCTTCCAACAATGCCAAATGTCTGCCTCCTGTCCGGGAGGAAAGGCTGGTTTTATGGATGCAAAGGCAGAAATCGAAATCTAGCCGAGTTCAATCATCCAGCTAATGGCGCCAGTCGGTATCACATGGTATAACCCATCTGCTTACGCATCCCAGACTGGCGCATCTCCTTCACCCTCGGCCCACGTGCCATCTCCTTCACCCCCCGGTGCCGGCCACGCGACGGTGCCGGCCACGCTAGCGGTCTTGAACTGATCGGCCAAGTCGGCACAATGCTCTTGATGGTCCTGGGAGAGTTCAGCTTGGGGCAGCAAAGTAAAAGTTGGCACTGTAGGTCAGTGTGTTTGCAAAGAAGTGGATTTGGAAAGCAGAATCGTCTTTCTTCAAATCGAATTGAAGTCCGTATCATTTCACGAACATATTTCATCTTCGTTCAGAGATACAGCAAACATACCCCAAACGATCCCCAAAGCACCCCAAATCCTTCAATCTAATCCCAAGCACCGCAGCCTTCCCCCAATCCCATGCCACCAGTCCCCACCAGGTCCCCAGCAGTCCCGGCCTTGTGCACTTGCGTTTGTAAGCTCAACCGATAGGGCGTCCCCACGAACGCCGGACACGAGACAGCCAAGGTCAGGACGGCCACCACCTCGGGCGGCCACGTGAGACATGACACTGGCTGAGGGTGTTTTTTTCTGACCTGAGACATGGAGAGGGGTGGAAAGGGGAGCTCCGAGATCAGGGTCTTTGAGGGATGGACCAGATGCAAATCCCACTTGCGAAGCATTGATACCTCCTGCCTGGCCCCTTTCTGAACAGGCTTCTCTAGCAGTTTGTTGGGAAATCGGCGCCAAAACCGAGAGGGGAGGGCGACCGGTGCTTTCTCCCAGAGGTTGGAGGAACTTGTGGAAGTTCTCGGGCTGATCATCTCTGACTGCAGGCTGTAGGATGGGTTTACGCACGAATGGTACTACGTATGCGCAGTGGATCGAAAATGTAGTCGGTCACATCCAGAGATAATATCATCACATACAAATGTTGGCTGAAGGATCTACACAGGTGCAAGTAAGTGGCATGCCCATGGAAGAGTTGGAGAGATCTCCAAAAAGGAACATGCAAGTCTCTAGTAGAGTTGTCATGAATTGCAGATCTACGGCGCTTTGCGGAATTTAGGGGTTCTGAAACTTGTTGTTTGGTGAAGGAAACGATCAACAACTGAGACATGCTGCGAGAATGTTCATCGTGTCCCAGTGGTTCGTCCACGGTGCACGCTCCGCAGCTCGACCACGATCTGGGGCCCCAGCCCAGACCACACTGCCCCGCCGGGGGCGCTCCAAGACCACCCGCAAGATGGCAGACGTCACCACTCCAACCTCAAGTTAGGTGTTGGATGATCCTTTGGATGGTCAGTTGATTGGATCAGAAAGTGAAGATAGATTAGGCCGTCGCTATTAGGTTGGGAGGCCATCGCTAGTAGGTTGGAGGCCAGCGCTAGTAGGCTGGAGGCCATCGCTAGTAGGTTGGAGGCCCCACGTCCTCTCTGTGTCGCCCTGACCTGCTCTGGGTCCAATCGCACTAGCCTCACCTCCAACAGTCCCAAGCTGCCGGCGCTGGGAATCCAACCAGGGCCAACGGCACGAGTGCTCGAAGCTGCATCAGATGGAAGCGCCTGACATCTGAGAAAGGGATCAAGATGGATCAAGACACAGCGATGAATGGGTGAAACCGTTGCAGAAACTCCTTGAAGCTGGGTTTGTTGAGACCCACCAAAGCGGGTCTAAAAAAGGATTGGGCAATGTCTACATCCATTCATTGCATGAAAAACCAGCCACCCTCCCACTGAAGCCACGATGATTCGCTGCTCTGCAAAGGATTGAGATCTCTTTAGTGGATAGGAATCACAGCACTTCAATGCCCAAGGAGTCATGACTTGTCATGTTCACCATGTTCCTCGACTCCTCCATTCAGACGGCCGAGTTCCGACGGCCTCAGCTTCCGCGAAGCGGAAAGCGGACGTGGGGGATCTCAAAGCCGCACGCAGCACGATGGGCTGCCCGGGTTCAGGCTTGGGCCAAAGCCAGCTAGAGCAACAAGCTCCTGGAAGATGCAGCTTCATGCAATCCCAAAGCATTACACAAAGACAATATAGTTTGTGGTAGCTAAAGGTGCGCTTGGCTGAAAATAGCTGTGTCAAACAGGATTTCACTTTGCTATCGGTTGCGGGGCTCACATAAACCGGACTGATTCTACCCCTTGTCTTCCAAGGGTCATCTTGATCTTTGGAGGAGCCACATGATTCATGAAAGGTTGACACAGGAACTTGATGTTGCACCTAGACTCGACTTAGGAAGTTTGAAGCTTTCGTTCAGCCTGGTGGCCTGAATATGCCTCAACGACGAGCACGTCAGTCAGAAACCTCAAAAAGAATCCAATCCCGGGAATGTGAAAGACCACCGCAGTCAGTTGAAACTTATAAACCCTTGGAAGACTTACATACTCTCCCTGCAAAAAGGAAAACATGGAAGTGGACTATGTCTTGAATACCAAACAGGTGGTGCCATCCACTTCCATGATGTTTTCCGGGAGGTAGATCGGATCATAGAAAATAGTCCCAGAACACTATGTTATTTAATTGCCTTCCTCTACAAACCAGTTGCTCGGCCTCCCATGTTGGTGTTCCTTGGTGCTCTGCTCACAACCAATAGAGCTTTGCTGGATATGTATGGAAGAAGAGTCTTGACGAAGACTCCGATCTAGGCATTCCTTTTCCGGTGTTGTTTTGGTCAATGAAGGCCCTTGTCGGTCATGTCAGCGGAGATCAAAGAAGACACAGGCAAGAATGCCCATGCCCTCAACTGATAGTTTGGCTTCATATGCTCTGTTCTACGGAGTACTACAATCTCAACACACTTTTTGCAGAGCACGCTCACGTCGAAGACGTTTGCTGCGCACGAATTGTCTCTCAACGAGCTTCGTTTGAAACCCGCGAATCTTCTGCGCTGGCACTGGCGTCTAGCAGAGACAGCACCAAAAAGAATCCATTCTCAATAGACACTCGATCTCGCCAAAGGATACCAAAGGAGTTCTCAATCAAACAACTCTCTCTACCAAGAATGTGGTCGACCATTCTTGTTCGTGCGTTCACAACCGTCAACGAAAGAAACTATATGTTAGGGTTAGGCCATCGCAGGCGTTATGCAAGTCTAAAGCTGAATTCCACTACATATTATGTATATATATATATACAATTATATACATGTATAGTGTCGGACTGAAACTTAGAATGCGTGCCCCGTTTCCAAAATATTTTCGTTTGCACTTAGAATGCGTGTCAAATCTGCACAGTTAGAATGAGTGCCCTTAACAAAACGTGTAATCATATGTAATCATTGCTTCTAATGCATCACTAGGGACAGCGTTTTCTGCAGATAGAATGAGAATTAATAGGTTCTAGTTGTATAAGTTGTATAAGATCTAGTCACTGCTTCTAGTTCATCCCTATCAAC